GCCTGTAAGAGTTGGTAGAAATCATCTATTTCTTCTTCTTTGGCTCTGGTTGTTGGTGCATATATCTGGATGATAGTAGTGTTCACTAGACTTCCTTGTAAGCGTATGGATATAATCGTATCACTCACAATGTTGTACTTCAAGATGGACCTAGATGAAACGTGAAAACATTATTGCTTATGGCTATTGTAAAACATTGTCTGAAATCGTTTATTCATACTTTGGAAAATAAAAGAATGAAAACTTGCAAAAAAAACCCACTATGCAACCAGGACACAAGGACTTGCTTAATATTTTTTGTTGTTGTTATGTGTGTCAAGATGCCTACGACTCAAAAAGACCCTCTGAACAACAGCTCTGAACCTTGCCCTATTCTGAGTCAATTTCACCATCTCTGACACAGTTGAACCCATTGCAACAGTCATTGTTTCATCCATTGCATCCAAGGTATTCCTCTCCTGCACTGACTCTCTACCATTCCAAGTATGATGTCCTTCTCCAAGGACTGACCCCTCCTGACAACATGCCCAAAGTGTGTGAGACAGATTGTCAAATCCTTGTGTACAAGGAGCAACCTAGTTTCACCCTATCCAGTCAGATCAGGTTGTTTTTTTTCCTCTTCTCTAACTTTCAGATGCATAGAAATTGAGAAGATCATTGTCTAGATGAGGCACACTTTACTCTCTAGAATAACTTCATTGCTCTTCAGTACATTGAAGAGGTCTTGACAGTAGATTTTCCCCAATGCAACTCCTCTTTTGATCTACTGACTGCTGGTGCCAAGGGATCCCATCGTGGATCCAAGCAAGATGAAATAATTAACAACTTCAATCTTTTCTTCAATTATGATAATAAAAAAAGAATGCATTATGAATATCTAAGCAATATAATAGAAATTTAATTCATAATTCTATTTTCCTAATCAAATGACTTCTTATCAAATTATTAGAGAAGCCAGAGCAGAGACACGATGTCCCAAGACAACAGTTCTAAAGTAGGAGCCCAGGGACAAGAAAGTTTCTCCAGTGCTGCCTAAGACAAAAAACCCTCCCTTAAACTGATATATGGGAGTTGGACTTAACTTCTTCTAAATCTGAGATAGAATCAGTATGAGAGACCAGCAACATTGTGAGGGGTTGCTGAGTGGGAGGAGGGGTCCTTGACAGGTTAGGGGGGTTGCAAACACTACTAATATTCAGGGAAAGGGAAGGGACAAGACACATATGCAGGAGGAGGACACTGCATGCACGGTTATCTCTATAAGGGGACGTAGGATTAAAATGCTTATCTGTCATATTCTGTTCCAAAACTAAGCATCCAAACTAAGACAGACTAAGAAGGAGGATTGAACACCCACTTCTGAAATATAACAGACTTTTGAAAACCCTATGTACAATAGAGCACACTCAGAGTAAAATAGGAGATATGGCAACTGAAGCTGAACCTTCAAATTTGGAAACAGAAAGGAGGAGGAACAGTTGTAAGCAGAAACTAATGACTAGAAAGTGGAATGTGAGAAGTCTAAGTGTAGGAAAACTGGATATCATTAAGAAAGAAGTGGAATGCATAAATATTGACATATTAGGTATTTCCAAAATGAGATGGATTGGCATGAGGCATTTTGAATCAGACGATCATGCGTGACTTGAATGAAAAAGCTGGGACCAGGAAGAAGGATCATGTCTGAAAACATGAACTTGTTGACAGAAATGAGGCTGGGGATAGAATGATAGAATTCTACACAACCAATGATTTCTTCATAGCAAATAACTTTTATAAGAAACATACACACAGGC